CAGGAGGAGGAGGAGGAGGAGGAGGAGGAGGAGGAGGAGGAGGAGAATTGACCTGTTAAACGGGAGGAGATTGGTGATGATGATTCTATCCTTCCCAATCCCATGCATCGCCGCTTCCTCGTAAAGGTTCTTCAACTGAAATCCTACCCGTCAGGCTCACACACCACAGAGGAAGGAGGAGAAACCGCTTTCCCATTGAACTCCAGCATCCACAGGACCGCCTCCGGCGCCCTCCTCATGATTCTCATCCAGGTGGACCAGATCTCTGGGTCGAGCTTGTAGAACTGATTGAAGGAGCAGAGCACGAAGGAGGAGGGGGAGGACAGCCCCAGCACCTCCTCCCTCGTGGGGACGGCGTGCCGGTGCGGGTCGAACTCCATCCTCGGCTGGATGAACGCCGGAGTCTCGCTGGGGAGGGAGAAGTTTCCCACGTCGTCATGCTGCAGGAGGACCTCCCGCCGGGAGATAGCATGGTCAGAGACCAGGTAAGTGGAGCCAGGAAGGTACAGGAACTTCTCCGAGTAGAACGATCGGCTGCAATGGTTCAGAGCGTGAGCAGAGGCCGCAAGGAGGGGAGAACAGGACCACTCGGGTGGAGACGATTTCACGTCCGTGGCTACGTAATGAACAAACTCGGCACCGAGGGTGCCGGTATACCCCCACCTGCTCAAACTCAGCACTCCATCGCTGCTCTGCTCTGCTCTGCTCTGCTCTGCTCTGCTCTGCTCTGCTCTGCTCTGCTCTGCTCTGCTCTGCTCTGCTCTGCTCTGCTCTGCTCTGCTCTGCTCTGCTCTGCTCTGCTCTGCTCTGCTCTGCTCTGCTCTGCTCTGCTCTGCTCTGCTCTCCCTTCATCCTTCCGTCTCTCAGTCAGTCGCTCCCCGCTCTCTCTCCCACTCCTCCTACCCTCCAGTCTCTTCACCGGAACCAAACTCACCACGACACGTGCAGAGGAGCAACGCCGGCTGCCATGAGCCGATGGATGGGGGAGCGGAACCTGGCAGACCCGTCAAGGCAGCTGGAAGGTGCGAGAGGAAGTACAAGTGACCTCAGCCCCTCATTCATCGTTGACGGGAGGAACGAAGGCTGACTGAAGGGAGAACACGTCACAGAGAAGCCCGCGGGGGGATAGCGAGCTCACTGGGTGAAGCCAGTCAGGTCGACCATGACGTGCAGCTTATCCTCTCGGACGCTCCTCAGCCTCTGCCAGCGCACAGAAGTCGAGGTGAGATGAGGGCAGGAGGAGAGGGACAAAGTTCCACTTGCCTGCGTGAAGGACATCCCGTGCATGTTCTTCATCCCCGAGCAGCCATGGGCTATCGTCCGATAGATCCTCGTCCCGTCATCGTGCTCCACGTCCCCGTAGCAGAACGCCTCCAGAACTCTGCTGGAGTTGTGCAGAGCAATCACTGACTGCAGGAACCTCCCGATGGAAAGTCTCGCCGCGTTCAGCCCGGTCACGCTGTAGAATCCGACATGAACGTGCCCCGCCCCTCCTTGCCCCCCTCCCCCTTCCTTGCCCCCCTCACGGAGATCACGCTGGAGCCTTGGAAGTCCCTTCTCGCGCTCACACGCTGCCTCGACGCTGGGATTGACCTGGTCAAACGTTTCTTCTGACAGGATCTCCGAGAGTCGGAGGACCATGGGGGGGTCAAGCCTGTACGTCTCCACAAGATATGGCATCAGAAGCGCTCGCCGCATCCTCAACGCCAGTCGGATCTGCTCAAGTTGCTCCCCCATCACCTCGTCCCAGTCCGTCCAGTCGCACAGCTCCCTTGCTGTCATCGCCACGTTGGTGACTGCGGTAGGAGCGAGGTGAGTATTTCTGACAAGCCTCGCGGCCTTCCTGAAGAGCAAGAGAGCTCGGTCGGAGCGGCCAAGAGCGAGGTAGACGTTCCCGGCATCGTTGAGACAGGTCGCCAACATCCTCGTGTAGAACCAGCTGCCATGGCTTGTCCTCGAGACACACAACCTGACACACAGGTGGTAGGAGCGAAGTGCAACTTCTGCATTTCCTCGCTCTGCTGCCTGAAGACCTGACATGCAAATGAGACCCCAATGGTCCGTCCGCAGACTCACCGATGTAATGTAGCTCCTCGATCCGGCCTCGCACCTCCTCCTCCTGAACGAGGCGAGCAATCAGCCAAAGGAACGATCCAGCGCTTGTTAGTTCTCGTCGAGTCACTTTCACCTGCTTTGGATCTTCTGCCCAGACATTCACATCACAGACTGCTAGAGTGTCGGAGCTGTTGATCAGCCTGACCGTGAGGAGCCTGCGAAGTTCTGAGAGATTCTGAAGTGTGAGGCATCTTGGATCCTACCTGGCAGACCCCCCGCAGTGAAACTCAAAGGTTCTGCTTCTGGACAGGGGAGCGCACACTCTTGCAGCCCCCTCATGCTCACTGCCCGTAGCCTCGACCTGTCGTAGGGTATCACTACCATGAGATCCGTCACACGCTCTCACTATCAACTTTCCGTACGCCTTCGTCGTGTAAATCTTTGTGAGACGACAATGAAAGGGTTGGATCAGAGGAGAAACAGAGATCTTGGAAATCACCTCAACGAAATGCACAAAGACCTGTCTCTCTAGATCTACATGTAGCACTGGCTGCACCCCGCGACCGGAATCGCTGCAGGTCTTAGCATGACCGTTCCGCTCTTCCCGATCCACAGCATACATAGCTGACTCCTGCCCAGGTGCGCCTTCTGCCTCGTGGAATGCACGCTTGCCGTACGCATGATCGCTGGGGATCGGCCATAGAGACGAATTGTCGGAGGAAGACTGCAGCGGGGATGGGAAGGAGCACACGAGTAACAGCAACAACAGCCACAGCATATCGAAGTGACGTTCTAAGCAAGGACGAGTTGCTAAAGAGCTTCAGAGTATGACTTTGCCGCCATCCACAGAGCACGCGCTTCCCACCGTGCAACGGAGAAGGGCAGCAGTGAGTGAGTGAGGGAGGGAGGGAGGGAGTGAGTGAGTGTGTGTGTGTGTGTGTGTGTGTGTGTGTGTGTGTGTGTGTGTGTGTGTGTGTGTGTGTGTGTGTGTGTGTGTGTGTGTGTGTGTGTGTGTGTGTGTGTGTGTGTGTGTGTGTGTGTGTGTGTGTGTGTGTGTGTGTGTGTGTGTGTGTGTGTGTGTGTGTGTGTGTGTGTGTGTGTGTGTGTGAATGAGAGACAGAGAGACAGAGAAAGGAGAAAAATCAACCTAGAGGGAGGAGGGAAAGGAGACGATGAGTACGAAGATGATAACTTTGTGTCAGACTGTTCCGCAGGCTCACTCTTATCCTCTCCGTCCTCTCTGTCCTCTCCGTCCTCTCCGTCCTCCTCATCCCCATTGCCTGTGATCTGTCCACCATGATCCTGGCTCCCCGACTAACCCACTTCCCCGCTCAGACAATTTCCCACCCACCCCTGGACCCTCCCCAGTGATTTCCGGGATTTTAGGTACAGGGTGGGGGTTGTCCCGATAGGTCAAACCTCGACATGGCGGCGAGGGCAGCAAGGGAAGCGAAGAGGAAGCGAGGAGGAGGAGGAGAGGAGGGGGAGAGAGAAAGTATCCTCCTCCTCTTGGGCTACATGCATCCTCAGTTCGACACTTCCTCTCTTCTTCCCGCGCCCTCCAAGCCTTCGAAGGTGAGGAACGCTGTTGCAAACTTGAAAGTTTGTTTTGCTTCACTCAGACCTTTGTGCTGCTGGCAGGATCAGGTGCAGACTGAGCATGCGGTGTCCGAGGAAGCTAGAGAAGAAGTGAGAAGAGCCCTGCATGAGCTCAGGAAGGGAAACATCAAGCCCTTTGCCGAAGCAGTGACCTCGGGCAGAGTCCATGTAGATTCTCCGATCGATCCAGTTCATCTAGACACCGCATTGCACGTTGCAGCCACAAATAACAAGTGAGGTGGCTGTGCTTTCCTGAGACGATGCTGATGTGTTCATGTGAAGGCCCTCTCTGATCCGTGAGCTCCTTGCCTTGGGCGCAAGCAGGACCATGCTCAACCAATACAATGAAACTGCGCTGGACAAAGCACGTGTCTTCCAGAACATTGAGGCGATGGAAGCCCTGAGAAGTGCAGCAGAGAGCTCACAGGGATCGAAAGAGAAATACGACCTGCTCTACGCTGCAAGTCAAGGAGATGTAGAGTTTATCTCCAATCAGCTTAAGGAAGGCAAACTGTCGGTGGAGGATAAGCTGTGCGAGGGTACTGGCGATCGACTGGTATTACTCGTGTTTGTTTGTGATGTAGTTTGGGGTTGCTGTTGTCTCAGAGATGAAGAAATCGCAGTCTTCTGACTTGTATCCTTCCAGCTTCATGTGGCAGCAGCATTTGGCAAAGCAGCCCTTGTGACGGAGCTTGTCGAATCTTTCAATGCCGACATTTCAAGATTGAATGCGTTTGGTGAGAAGGCTGTGGATAAAGCGATTGCGGTGAGAGGAATACTTGTGTGATGTCAAGAATAATCCTTCTACTACCAGTCGAAGCAGCAAGACGTCGTAGATTACCTCTCGAAGCTCGAAGCGGATCGAAATGATTCTGCGGCAAAGTTGAAGAAAAGCTCGTCTTTACTGTCAAGAATGGCTTCGAAGATCTCTATATCGAGAGCTGAGAAGGTACACCGAATCTCTTACTGTTCCCACACCGAAACCTGCTCGCCAGAAAGACGAAGACGAACCGAACGAGCTTCAACTTCACCTTTCTCCCTCCCAGACCAAACCAGACGTGCTGAGCCTCACCAACAGCAGAAGTCAATCATCCTCATCCGTCCGACCGAGCAAGTCGCTGCTCTCACGATTATCAATCACGAGTTTGTTCCGATCTTCTAAGTCGCTCAAGGTCCAGAGGAGGCGTTTCCTTCCCTGTGTTGATGGATTCCCCAGGGACAATCGGACGTGAACCAGCAGGGGGGGGAGCCCAAGGGTCAAGCCAACTTGCTGGAGTCTCAAGAAGAGGTCCAACAGCTCCTCACCCCTCCCTGCCTGATGCCTCCGCAGGATGAAGACGTCAAATCCTTCAAGCGCATGATTCGAGAGCTTGACGGGATGCTGGCAGGTCGATCAGCTCGCTTCCTCCCTTCCCTTCCCTTCTTTTCCGAGCCTGAAATTCGACTCTCCTCCTCTTGCCCTTCTGTCTTCTCCCTCCCCGCCATTGACTGCAATATCGGATGCTCAGCCATGTCAACGCTGGAGGCTGAGCTGAACTCGTACAAGGTCGAGGAAGAGTACTGTCTCCCTCCTGCTGTTCGCTGTTCTCATCTTCTACCCTAGACCGCAGATCGCTCCTCCCCCTGAAGTCCTCGAGTCCATCCCGGGTCTAATCCCCGAACCGAGCAAGGCGAGTTCTTCTTCCCAGGTGAGTCTCAGCTCGGCTCCGCCCTGTTGCCCCCCTCGATCCCAGTGCCTTCAGAGCCTCAGGAGATCCAGCGAGTTGGAAGAGAACGCCCTCGCGCACAAGGTCGGGCTGCTGTGCAGCTGAGCCCGTTTGACACCGTGTTTGTCAAGGTCTGGCTGCAAGGGCCGGGGTGGCTGACAGCGAAGAAGCCGCAAGGTCGCGTCCTCCTTGACCTGCTGGGGTCTCGATGATCCGTTCCCATCAGAATCAGGGTTCCCGCTTGGCGCAAAAGGGGTGCAGATGGAGGAAGATCAGCTCGAACGTCCTTCAGAACCTCCTTCAGCGGAGAGCGAAAAGCTGAGGGAGGAGCAGGAGGAGGTGATCCAGGAAGAGCCTGTCATGGTGAGGCTCGTTGCTGTCCCCTCCTTGCTTTCCTCCTTTCTTCGAGCTGCTGCTCAGCTGCCTATCCCCAGCCCTTGACGACTTTCTCCCTTCTCCGTCTCCTCCCTGCGTGCCTCTGACTTGACTGTCTCCACTTCCTCCTCCCTCGCTGTCGTCGCCTCTGTCCCGTCAGCTCGTCACGCCGGTGGAGGGCAACGACGATGAGATTCTCCGGCAGTTCAAGCCGCACTCGAGAGCAGAGCACCGCATGTTGTTAGAGCAGAAGAGAAGGTCAGCTTTGCTCATCCTTGCCCCTTTCCTTCCGATCCCCACCATACCCCCCTTCCTCTGCCCTTCCAGCTCTTTTGAGCTTACTCCTTGCCATGCTCCGCCTCGTGTCGTCTTGCTGGGATCTTCAGTTGCTGAGCTTGCGAGCAGGGAGCGATCCCTCATGAGGATATCAGAGATGAGGAGCAAACATGAATTCTTGGAACACGATCAAGGCATTGCTCCAAGTATTTCAATACTCCCGTTCTCCTCCTCCTCCTCATCCTCCTCCTTCTCCTTCCCCTTGCCTTTCTGTTCGTTACCCCCCTCCCTTTGTTGTGCCCTCTCGACCTTCGTCTTGGTCCTCCTCGTTCAAGTTCTTGGACCTCATTCGTCTCCTTTCCACCTCCTCGTTCCCCTCGCTCCTCCTCATTTGTTCTCAGATCGGCCGTGGATTCCCCCGACACTTCCGTTGAAAACTTGATTGAAAGCCTCCTGTTCCCCTCAGCTGCCCTTCACCTGCTGCAGCACGACTATCTTGTCTTTCTTGCCAAACTTGAAGAGTTTCCTCCTGTCAGGACTGACCGACGCGTCAGTGAAGTTGATTAGATTGCGAGAGGAAGGAGAGCAGAGGAGAGAAACGCAGGAAGGAGCGCGGCAGTTGTTGGGAGAGAAGGAGGAAGGAGCAGGGGAGCAGAAGGAGGGTGGGGGGGTAAGTGAACATGGAAGACATGTGAGGAAGAGATAGGGAGGAACGGGGGGGGGGAGGAGGAAGGAGCTGCACCTCAACTCCACCTTTCCGTCCGACCATCGCACACCGAGAGCAACTGCAGCAGGAGGTCAGGCAGGAGGAGCTAAAAGCTGCTGGATACTTGCGCTCCTCTCCAAGAAGCAATCGGAGAGGAAAGCGAACTCAACCTCCTCCTGTCTCCCACGTCATTCGGCAGCAGCAGCAAGGAGGAGTAGGAGGAGGCTCACGTCGTGGGGGAGGATCGCGTGAGGGGAGAGCAGGGTGAGCTGCGCGGTGGAAGCACGGAGAATGTCGTCATACACGTAAGAGAGGTACGGGCTCCGCAGGATCTGCAACTGAAGTGAGAGGGAGAGAGGGATGGGAAATTGTACGAGGAGCAGGAGAGGGAGAGGGAAGGGGGGAGGGAGAGGGAGAAGGAGGAGGAGGATGAGGAAATACCTGGACGAGCGCTCCAGCTTCGAGCTCGTTGGGCATTAGCCACTCCAAGGAGATCCCCTGCTGCTTCAGCGCCTCCTCCACCAGCTCCACGCTCGTCGGCTGCTCGACGCAGGCGATGACGTGCATGAGGGGAAGGACGACGCCCTCCCGCGCGCTCCTCCTGCGGCAGGAGACGATCATCTGCGCTGGAGTGAGACGCGATGACGACTGCGCAAGCAAGTAGCAGGGGAGGAGCAAGCAGATGCAAGGAAGGAAATCTGGCAGGTTTGGGTCGGGGCCACAGGAAAGGGTCAGTTGTATGAGGGGAGGGTGAAAGGGGGCGAAGGAGGAGAGAAGGTGAGGAGAGGAGGGAGGTGAAGGAGGGAGGGGAGGGAGAGGAGGGAGATGCGATCTCCAGTTAGCCAACCTTGGCAAGGGCGACTAGCTGAGCATCGTTGGTGTCGGCGGCGCTGGAGGAGGCGGAGGGGAGGCTGATGACGACGTCACACTCCGCAGCCCTCACCTCCCTGAGCTTCTCCATGGTGAGGAACCCACCGTAGAGCAGCTCGGTCGAGATGTTCCTCCTCTGTCCCATCTCTCTGATCGCCTTCTCCTGCCCCTCAGACTTGTCCGAGGATGAGAAGTGGACGACCAAGGAGGAGCCGGGCGCCAGACTCTCCTCCATGCTCTGCAGCAGCATTTCCTCCTCCCCCATGTTGAGGATGAGGACGCGGAGGGCAAACTTCTTCTTCATGCAAGAGAAGCACCTCTCAAGCTTCTTCACTACCCTCTCCTTCCTCTGGGTGTCCTGCTCCTCCTGCTCATTCGTCCTCCCCTTCCCTTCCATCTCATCCTTGCCCACCACCACCTGCTTGTTGCACCGGATGCTGTGGTCGCTGGACAGCAGAATGAGCAGGCTGCTGCCAGGAACTGTCTCTTCTCCGTCGGGTATCAGCTGAATCCTCTTGCTCCCGTCCTCTATCCATCCCAGCAGCACCGCTGAAGGAAAGAGCCGCCTGGCCTCCCCGAACGTCCTCCCCTCCAGCCATGACCAGGTGGAGGAGGAGAGAACGTACATCTGGCTCCCCTCTCCCGCATGCAGGATGTCCTCGTACACGTCGGTGATGCCCTGCAGCGTCATGCATGCTCGTATCACCTGCTGTGTGAACCCGTTGCGGAGGACGGGGACGAACCCGAGCTCGGGGGCGAGCTCCAGCCGGGAGGACGAGACCATGACGCCGTGCAGGTCGTGGAGCTTGTATCCCATGCTCTTCATGGGCTGATGCTTCTCCTGCAGTGTCCTCACGCATGCGACCTGCGTCGACAGGACCTTCTCCTCGTCCTCCTCTCCTTCAGGGTACTGGAGCAGGACGTGGCTGGCCTCCCCGGCGCAGACGTCCTGCAGCTCGTTGAGGGAGCACGGGTTGCCTGCTCTGACGCTGATAGGGAGGTAGACGTCTCTCAGGCTCTCCTGGATCCTCTGCCGCATCTCCTTCCCGTCCATCTGCGCAAGGATGACGATGGGGAGGGCGGAGTACCCGTCCTTCACGGCCTCTGCCAGCTGCCGGAGAAGGGGGGTCGTTCTGCTGTTCCAGTTGAGGAGGAGGGTGTGGCCGGCCTCGACGATCCTGTAGTTCCCCTCAAGGATGTTCTGCACTGACATCTCGATGGAGGAAGTGACGAGTCCGAGGATGACGGCGAAGGTGAAAATACCGGACACGAACAGCACGTTGGCAGCTACCAGGTACCCCGTGGACTCCTCGGAAACCGCGTCGATGCCAGGAGCGTTGTTGAGAAGGGCGTAGGCCTTGAAGAGCGCATTCCTCCAGGAGCCGACGTTCCCCACACACCGCAGGATGAGTCCGCCAACGACGACGAGGACGAGGGAGATGCTGAAGATGAACGCTGCCTTGACCGTGTTGGAGGAGACGACGATGTTGGAGAAGCGGTACTCCAGGTACGCCATCCTCTTCCGCATGCTCGTCCATGTGCCTCTCAAGCTGCGATCGTCCTCCGTACCCTGCCCCTTTGTGCCCCATGGCGAAGCCCAAAGGCCAGAGCTCTCTCTCCTGTTCAGCTTCGATGGCAGCGGCAGCGCTCCCTTCGGCTCCTCAGCTTGCAGTCCTCCTCGAAGCCTGCATCCTCCTCCTCCTCCTCCTCCTCCTCTCAGGTTGGCGCTCGCCATCGCCATCCCTGCCATGACAAGCGCCAAGCGCCTCGCCATGGTCATGTTGGTGCTGGTGGAATGGAAATTCGCAATTTGCCTCAGGAGTCGCAAGGCCTGGCACCCAAAGCAGCAAAATGGCAGGAGGTGATGGAGGCGAAGAAGGAGAGAGAGGGAGAGGGAGAGGGCAGGAAGGGAGGGGAAGGGAGTGGGAAAGAGGCAGAAGGGGAGAGGGAGAGAGGGCGAGGACGATGCTGAGCTGAGAGCAGGCGAAGGAAACGAGGCAGGACGGATGAAGGCCTGGACATGGAGGAGAGGAGGGCGCCTGGAGCCGCGGGGATGGGACGGGAAGGAGGGGATTGAGATTCCCACGGCTGGGGAGGGAGAGCTGTTGGTTCGCGTGCATGCTGCGTCCCTGAACCCGATCGACTGGAAGACGATGGATGGCGCGCATGACTGGCTTCTTCGGATGCGATGGCCGCGCGTGCCATGCTTCGACTTCTCTGGGGAGGTCGTAAAGGTTGGAGGAGCAGGAGCAGGAGGGCGGTGGAAGGAAGGTCTGTGCATTACGGTTCGCTCCCACTCTCAGTCACTCCCGTGCTCGCAGGTGACCGAGTCTTCGGTATGATCCGAGGCCTCCCACAGCTGGGCAGGGGAGCGCTGGCAGAGTACATGGTAGTGGACGAGGACGTTTGCGCTGCCTGCCCTCCCTCCTTCTCCCATGTGGACTGCGCGAGCCTCCCCCTCGTTGCCATCACAGCCCTCAAGGCCTTCCGAGCCTGCAGGCTGCAGGAGCGATCGCAGGATCACCCGCGCGTGCTGGTGGCGGGAGGAGCAGGAGGCGTCGGCACAGTGGCGATCCAGATCGTTCGCAACATGATGGGAGCGGAGGTGGTGGCGACAGCGTCGCCGGGGAGGAAGACGACCCTGTGCGAGGAGCTGGGAGCTAGGGTGGTGAACTACCACGAGGAGTGGGTGAAGAAGCTGGAGGAGGAGGGCTGCAGCTTCGACGTCGTGCTTGACTGTGTTGGGGACGCCAAGAGGTGCGCGCGGCTGCTCAAGGAGGGGGGTAGTCTCTGCTCAATCGTAGCTGGGGGAACGCAGGACGCTCTTCTGACCTGGCTCGACGACGCAAGGGTGGATCCCCGAAGCATCACCATGGGGGTGGAGGTGGTGTTGAGGAGCAGCTGGGGAGGGCAGCTGGTGGAATTCTTCTCAGGTGCTGCTGGGCTGAGGTCGCTGTGCAGGAGGAGGGGCGGCAGTTTCTTTCACGTCATCGGGGCAGGGGACGGGGAGCTGATGGGGGTCCTGGCGGAGGCGATGGGGAGGGGTCAGGTGAAGCCGGTCATCGACTCGGTGTTCAGCTTCGAGGACGCTCTCGCCGCCTTCGCCAAGTCCAGGGAGGGACATGCGGGAGGAAAGATAGTGGTGGAGATAAGAAAGTAGAGATCTGACCCTCGATCCGCAACTTGTTATTCTCCTGCTCCTCCTCCTCCTCCTCCTCCTCCTCCTCCTTGTGCCGTCTTGCATTCACTAGACCTCCATCCTAGTCCCATCCCTTCAACGCAGATCTTGTTTAAGTTTATTTGCTTCATGTTCATGGGTATGTACAAGAGGAGCTCTGAGCTAAGTTATGAGGCCTCGTAGGGTCAGCAAGACGATGTCACGTGCTATCAAGCTCTCCGCCACCTGCCCATCAACCATCACCCAAATCACCTCCTCCTCTTCCTCCTCCTCCTCCTGCTCCTGCTCCTCCTCATCCTGCTCCTCCTCCTGCTGCAGCTGCTCCTCCTCCTCCTGCCTGCCAACCTGCCTGCCTACCTGCCTGCCTCCTACCAACTCGCCCCCTCCCCCTCTCAACTTCCA